TGTGTGTGTGTGTGTGTGTGTGTGTGTGTGTGTGTGTGTGTGCATGAGTGTACATTTAATTGGGATTCATACCCACATTTACCCTTTGACTGTTGAGATCTGCGGCAATAAGACACAAAAGAAAAATACCTGATTTGTTGCAACGCACAGCTCATACACTTGAAAGTTAATTTCACTCTCAAGGCCAGCGAGCACCTGAAAGTGGGTTACAACAAGTTTCTCAATTCAATCTTAAAAGTGTAAGAATTTAATTTCAACAAAAACAATAAGCACAGACTGTGAGTCATGACTTGTGCGTATCACCGCCTTAACTATACTTTCCTAACTCAAATATCTTTACCTAAACCTTAAAACAACACAAATCAAGTTTAAAATATAGAAACATATCTTGCATTAAATTTGATATTGATCACGTTATGGGGACCTATAATGTCCTCACTAGTTAAGTTCTAGGCTAAAAATGGTCATCACAAAGATTTCTGCACAAGTACACACACATATACACACACTTGTCTCTCTAGTTGTGAGGACACTCATTGACATAATGCATCCCCTGGCCCCTCACCATCACAACAAATTGACTAACCCTAACCCTAACACTAAAGTGAGGACAAGCCAAAATGTCCTCACAAAGTCAAAATGTTCTCACAATGATGGTATTGAACCAAAATTGGCCATCATAACTGAAGACACACACACACACACACACACACTAGGACTGCAGTGCAATTGGCAGAAGAGGAACAAGAAATAAAGCAGAGTGGTGAGGTGTTGGTGCGCTCAGCTCAGCTCGGGTGGGACGGAGCTGCTCACCGTCCCTGACTAAGACTCTCACACACACACACTAACACGCACGCACACTCACACACTGAACGTCAAAGTGTAGCATCATTTAACACTGATGGATCCGGAGTTGTGCGCGTGCTGCGGCTTCCGTGGATGAACGGAGCCGATTGACGCGCGCGCGCTGGAGGCAGCCGCGTGTGATTTCCAGCCCCAGTCATTGTGGCAGCAGCAGCACGATGCGCGAGGGAGACACACAGAGAGCTGAGCAGCCTCTGCCGGAGATGTCGACCGACTGGAATCCCTCAGCCTGCCCAGGAAATATGGACTAAATCCGGCTTCTCCGTGGCTGCTTCCCCCCCTCCTCCTTCCTTCGTTTTTTTTGCACGTCGCCACAGTGGTGTATAGTGGACCAGGATGCCGTGTGGGCGATGCTGCCACAAGGGATACGTTGTGATTTCGCAGAGATGTTTTGGCAAAGCGTCGCTTGCATATAATTAGAAATAAAGGAGAAACTGTGAGCGCAGAAAGGGGGATCTAATAATAAAAAGACATCACCACCTGTTACCAGGAAAACCAGGTAAAAAAAAACCTCGCACGGACATTCACATTCATACAGAGCATGATTGAGGTGGCCACCTCATTATAATCATATCATTAATGCACTTTTTGTCTTTTTTTGAGATGTGATTTTCTTGTGTGAAGCAATCACCAATGTGAGATCCGAAGCATCATCTGATAGTCACATTGGTGTGATGCCCTGAGCACAACAGTTTGACTTATGAAGGGCCTGCAGGATGAAACACTCCTGCTGTGTGTGATTTGCAGGAATGTATATATTTATATATATATGTGGAGCTGGCAGGAGCATTTTTGCTTTGCTTCAGTGCAGGTGTACACACACAAGCAGCACCCGCAGTTCCTCTGGCCAGTGCAGAGGCAGCAGACCCCCTCTCCTCCACACTGCTATATTCAAGTACCCTCTCTGCACAGGGTGCCCATAATCCAAAACTGTTTTCTTCCTTGTGCAGGGACGTCACTGAACTATTCACAAATCACTTCTGCATCCTTCTTTCTGCATCATTCTTTCTTTAAAAAACATCCACTGAGTGATGAAGCAGAGGAGGATTCCAGCCTGATGCTGCTGATGCTGCTGCTGTAGGGTCCAGTGTGTTTTATTAGCCTCGCCAAAAAAAAAAGAAATGCTCCTGAATCCTCTCTTCCACAAAATTTACGTCTCTTCTCTAACTATAAACTGCTCTGGCAGGGTGCTTATAAGGCAAAGCTTGTTTTTTTTTATCTCATTATGGGCTTCGAGGTGACAGACAATCAGTGGATGTGAAAAAAGGAAAAACACTGGAGAAGGAGAAAGAGTGATTTCATGAGGCTCCCCCTGCTCATACAGGCATATTGAGCTGCAGCTGAGTGGAGCTGGTCCATTTGCTGGTCATAGGTCAGGAGCAATCTGTGTGATGTACTGGAGGTCTGACTACTGTCAGAGGCTGAGACGTTGACATGTCACTGACGATTTTATGCCCTAGCACACCCAGCTCCCGTTTCTGCCTACATGTGTCCTAAATCAAAGAGCAGTTTGACCAAGTGACAGAGGGACACAGGCAGAAAATCAGGCCTGAGTGAATCAGTGTCTGTCACATCTTGTCACCTAAGAGAGCCAGGTTCATGAACCCCTCATGATGTGCTGGGTGTGGATCTGCTGATAACTTGCCTCAAAGTTTTTTCCCCCCCACAATCATGATCTATAGTGCACGGGCGTCAATCACAATCTGCAAACAATGTCGGCACTCCACAGTGAGGAGTTCCTCCTGCACACTTAATTTTCCTTGTACTGACTTAATCAATAACTGCTGGTTCTGCTGCAGCCAAATCTCACTGGGTCATTTAGAAAAAAAACAGACAATCCCGACTTGTTAAATGTCTTGAAATGCTCAGCTGGGATAAGCTGTCCTACGGCATCACAGGAAGCGGTGGATGTATACATTAGCATCAGTTATGTATGGTAGCACATTCAAAGTGATAAACTCCCCTGGCATCACACAGTGGTTTGATATGTAGCAGAGCACGTCTGAATAATCAAGGATTACATACTTTCCAGTGTGTATTCAGAGAAAGCAAGTGTGTTACCTTTCAATGGAGCGATTCCCCTGAACATTTTCCTGCAGCGGTTGTTCTGGCTAAAGGGCGGCAGCAAGGGGAGAGCCTACAGTGTGTGAGCGCTAGCCTGGACATCTTCATTATACCATCCAGCCCCCGGAGCCCAGGCCAGGCAGCAGAGAGAGAAATGTATCACACCTGATGTTTCTGTGGGGCTTTTTTTTTTTTTTTCACCAACTGTTTGGTCGACCATCCATACAAACTGCTCCAGATGTAGAATTCACAGAGGAGAAGCCATATGCTTTTATTGCAGCGTGATGAATGAGCAGGACAAATAAAAGAAAGGATATTGAGGATATTTCTCTTTAGAGAGAGAGAGAGAAAGTGTGTGCAGGAAAAAAAATGCATCAGTGGTCTGTCGGTGTCATGCAACAAGAAAGCCATTAGTCTGTCTCAGCAGAGACTGATGGCTAATGAAGCGAATGCACAGCAAACTCTTGTGGAACATAGAAGACACAACTCTCATTTATATGCACCTCATACAGCAGCCCATCTGATTTAGAGGTTCAGGGCTGCACCACAGGCCGACGCACTGAGAGCTACACATATAGGTGATAACTGCCCCATCAGAAAACCAATGAGGGGTTGGAATATTCATCTATATCTATATAATGATTTATGATACTAGCTTTACATTGAAATCTCCAACACTGGGTTTCTGTGAAGTGGAGGTATAGTGTTTCCTTTATTCTTTGTAAGCTGTGAAGTAGCCCAGGCTGGACAAGTTTAGGTCACATTTGATTAATGTGCAGCGTCTGCTTGTTGGTGAAGCCCTGTTGCCTTGACAGCACGCTTTCTGCTCAACCTTGATGGAAGGCAGTCTCCTACACTGTAAATTATTATTATGTCTCCTTAGGTGCATTTGGAGTTCGACCATTTACTTCACAATTCGCTCATATAACAGCAAAAAAAGAGAGAGATGACAATACAGTGTCTGTTACCAGTGTATCATTTGTCCGCGACACGCACATTGGATTGATTGGTTTTGTTGAAGTATAATTGTCAAATATTCAGCGTGTGGAATGTGCGGTTTCCCTTCTTTTCTATTTTCTATCACAGAAATCTGAAATATCTCTGTTTTAAACTCTATTTCAAACACGTCACTTTTGCACATTTTCATGGAGAAGACTCACTTTATCGATTAATCTAGAAAACGAATCAGTGATTAAAATAGTGATGAGTTGCAGCGCTGAAGGATTCATGTAAATTGTCCAGGTAGTAAAACACACTTATCTTAATGAGTTTCTAACTGCTGCTTTTATCGACGGTGAAATTTACAACTTCTTAATGTTCATACTCAACAGAACTTGATTTACATAGCTCAGATTTCAAATTTCTTTCATGTCCCACAGTTTGAATCCATAAATAAGAGATGGCTCCATGTTTCCTATAGTTGTGAACAGATGTGTCCCTCGATTGTGCAGCTTCATTTAGGTGCAGTCGAGCCTTCAGCGAAGTGCGGAGCTTTAAAATCCTTTCATGCACTCGACTCACAGCATGGGGCCATTTCCAGGCCCCCAAGTCTTCTCCTGGAGGGCTGCTCAGGCCTCAGTGCTTAAATCACAAAAAGAAGTGATTATATGTAAAGGCTGTTTATTTAAAAATGGACGTATACACTCATATACAGTGTTATAATTAGGAGAGTGCTGTAATTCAACGTGGTACAAAGGCTGTGCGCTCATTTTCTGAGGCTTATTAAAGCGCTAATGTGAGATCACATGCTTGATTTGCCCGGTGTATTCATCCACATAATGTCACATATGAAACAAAAAATAAAACTGATTACAATCCAATCAGGAAACTGAGCATGCCGTCAGATCGGTTTCTTCTTGCTGTAGTTTATTATGTCTGTTTTTGCTACCTGATATCAGCGATAAAACAGGGAACCAGTTTATGAAATGATTCTGGCTGATTTAAGTTGGCACCCACCTGATATCTGGTGGCTCTCCGCTGCCAAAAAACATACATCACAGTCTGGAGGGTCAGGAGCCCGGCTCATAAATGTGTCCATCACTAATTTACTCCTCTGCCTATCATTCATGAGCATCTGGCGCCGAAAGCACCACTGGCTGCTGCAGGGCCGCAGGTATTGACTTACGAGGTAATGAAAGACTTGTTTTTTGACAAATGCGCTAAAAGAATTGAAAACATGATGAGACGCTCTTTCCAGCGAGTGATCGATGCTGAACATAATCTGAAAGAATAAGGGGAGGAAGTAGCACCTCTAGCGGCTCACACAACAGGCTCTGCTGGATACTGAATGTGCTCTGTAAATACAGAGCTGTTCACACAGCTGCCTCACCGCAGGAGTGAGACTGGGGGAGGCTTAGTTTATTAATGTGTCACAAATCGTCAGGTGAAGAGGAACCTGAACACAACACACAGAGGTTTAAACCATTTAGAGCTGAAATGAGTCAACAGAGAAACTAAATCTGCAGTAAGTTTCACAATCACACAACATTCTTTTAGGTGAGCACCTCATATACTGACTGGTTTCAACTTTTCTGATGTGAGGATTTGCAGCTTCTCTCAGTTGTATTCATCCATCCAACTATTATCTATAGACTTAAAGGTACAGTGTGTAGAATTTTGTGATATCTAGTGTTGAAATTGCATGTTGCAGCTGAACACCCCTCACCTCACCCTCTCCTTCCAAACATGAAAAAGAAACTGTGGTAGCTTCAGTTGTCATAAAAACTCAAAAGGTGTTTAGTTTCTGGGGTAAAGAAAACTACAATTCATACAATTTAGATGAAACGAACTAGTGAAAACATCATGAGGATTATTCTACATTAAATGTCTGCCAATGGTTCCCTTTCACCTGAGTCTTACACACTTGACTTTTAATACTGGGGGAGCTGGAGCCAAATCCTGCTGACATTGGGCGAGAGGTTCACACTGGACAGGTCGCCAGCGAATCACAGGTCGAACATACAGAGACAACCCTTTCAGCTTTATATCATTTTAAATCCAAATAATCTGGGTTTTAAACAAATCAGTACATTTCAAGATGTGACGCTGAGCTCTGGGAACTTTTCAAGGACTTGTCCTGCAGTCCAAAGATGTGCAGATGAGGTCATTTGAAACTGTTAATTGTAAATTGTCCAAAGGTGTGAATGAGAGCATGAAGGGTCGTTTGTCCCTGTATGTGACACGTTGGGTGATGCGATGTCCAGGGTGAACCCCACCTCTCGCCCAATGTCAGCTGGGATTGGCTCCAGCTCCTGACGCAGCCCTGATGAAAATAAGCATTCCAGATGATGGATGGATGGGATTGACCAGAAGACCTTAATGGAGACAAATTAATTGGAATAGTTAAATAATCACAGTTTATGTTAAAAACAAAACTAGATATTGTTTAAGGAGAATATCTTGTCTCTGTGGCTCATAAATAAGAAGCTGCTCTCGACTCACCTGGAGAAGTTTTGATGAGGGCTGGACGATATATGGCCAAAACTTATATCAAGATAAAAATATCCTATAAATAGGTATGAACGATCAATATCACAATATTATTCCTTTTATGATTTTTGCTCCAGAGTGAAGGTTGTGGTTTTTCTTTATGAACAGAGAATGATAAACAGCAAAACACTTCACAAATCTGAGGTAGATCAGTTAAGTGTTATATCTCCTCACTGTGCAGCACAATGACTGAGCAATACATCAATATATATTGAATTTATTGTGATTGATGAAATTTACGATGCAGTAATTATCGATGTTGTGTTGTTGCCTGGCTCTACTTTTGATACACTAGTTTACAAACCCGGCTGAAGTCAAGAATAACAACTCCGATAGCTGATCAATAAAACACTTTAATGTTGAAAGAGACAAATTAGTGCTCTGCATTTTCTGATATCTAAAGAAAATAAAAGCGTTGCCTTAAAAACATTTATGTGAACATTTATAACAGCACAGAATGGCTTCTTCTGACATTCATCGGGCAGAAAAACTGTGTCTGTGTTCTGCTGTTGCCGTTGAACACGACTCTTTTGGGATGCTTTAATATTGGAGTAGCACAACGTCTGCTATGGCTCCGCCAGCGGCCAAATTAAAAAGCTGTGCTCTCAGGCACTATATGTTCCAGGTCGCAGAACAAGTGGACGTATACAGTAAGCGAGACCCATCTAAAAATTTTGGAGCAGTAAAACCACATTTGCCAGAGCACTGTGCAGACAGCTGCTCCACCTGCACGCACAACTGGCCATTCATCATCCTGTACGGGTCACGGCTGTCCTCAGGTCTAAGAGATGGAGACGTCAAGTTACACATCTCTACATCACGGAGGCAGCCTCGCTCGCTCCCCTCGCTCTGTTTCCTGCCATTGTGTCAAAGACAAGAGAGTCATTCGAAAATACATTTCTTGGCAAATTGGTCTTACTGAAAATATCTGATAGCGAGGTTGGAAGAGGAGTTACGCTGACTCGACTTAAAAAGGCACAAAAGGTCCAAGCTTATTTAATCTTTGGATTCTCGGAGAATAAAAAAATGAAAACAGCAGGGGAGTGCTGGTGTCTGACAGGATGTTCGGGAGGGCACCTGCTGAAACAAAGTACTCGTCTCCGAGCCGCAGACAAATTTTTCAGCTGACCACGTGAGCGCATTCATTTTTAATAGCAGGTCCACAAATGATGTCAGGGTTTCTCTCACATCCGTTAAACGCAGCTGGCTCACAGTGTGGGCGAGGATGGAGACAGAACCTCTGATCGTGTTTTTCAAATGGATTTTTTCCAGAATCAATAAAACTCCAACCACAAATCTGTTAAAAGAAACATACATATTGGCGTATTCTGAAAAACACTTCAATAGGTTTTAATATATTCTTCGTGTATTTCACAAATACTGTATAATATACTGAATATACTATCAACGCATACCTGTTCATACAGGATGTCAAACTAAACCTCCAACTAAAGATAATTCTCATTATTGATCAATCTGCTCAATACATTGTTTATCAAACCAATGAATCAAGATCTATAAAATACCATAAAATGAAAAATAACCCTTCTCGTAGCCCGAGGTGGAATTTTTAAATTGCTTTTTGGAGACATTTAACATTTAATCTATGAATAAATAGCAAAGAAAAGCTTTTCATTTGAGAGTCTGGAAATATAATGTTTTGCCAATTTTACTCAGAAATGTAATTAAATGATTATTAAGATTGTTGATTAATTATCTGTTAATTGACCAACATATATCTATGTATCTTCTTTCTATATACTGATATATCTCTCACTACGCTGCAACTAATTACTAAAACTAAATTGTCATTCAGTTGCTTGCTTATTAGATACACCTAGTTGAATCAACACCTCTTCAACAATGACTTCAACATGATAAAGGCTGGACTGAATAGAAATATGTCATCTTAAACTGGATATAATACCTCATATATGTCCTATAATAAACAGGCAACTAAGTGTTGAGTTAACTTCTATTCAACACATCAAATGAATAAAATATCTTAAAATACATGAAACAGCATGAAGACAATTTGAAAAATAAATGTACCTTCGATATCCAAAGTTACAATTCAAAAGCTGAATAAAGCAAAATATCCCAAACACAATGAAAACCAAGTAAACCAAGATTTATTTTGAATGTTTAGCTATTTTTATTTCTTCTTTTATCTGTTAAAGCTTCTCCGAATCACTCGCTCCTGCTGCTCTCTCTCTCTTCCTCACACACGTTTGCGAGTTTCATCAAGGCTTCTCTCTCTCTCTCTCTCTAATCATAAGTCAATGATTTATGCATTAATTGTAGCTTGAAATGCATACGCCGTGAGTTCTCTTCTAATCCTGTATAACAATGATCATAGTAGCAACACTGCAGCTCAACAAGAGAGTGGCGTCGAGCCAACAATGCATACTAACGAGGAGGATATCTCAAGGGTTTGCTGCTGGAATTTAATAAACACGCTGAAAGAGTCATTTGCACCCGGCATACAGAAATCCAAGAAAATGGAAGAATGTAACTTAATTGCATTTTTTTGCATTTTTTTCGAGTTCACGTGGTTGTTTTTCTGGATCCTCCATTGCAGTGAGTGACACACGGGATTCACAGTTTGGAGTTTGCTCCTGAATTTCCCCTTGTTTTGCACCCGGTGTGTATTCTGGAAATAAAGTCGTGAATTGCTTCTGATTCCACATCTCACGTACAAGCAGCAGTTATATTGACATGTTGCTGGCAACTGCAGATTATATCTTTTCAGTCGTAGTCAGGAGCATTTAACAAATTCATTTATTCAGCTCTGTCTCCCATCGCTTTATTCCGTAAGACTTCAATTTTGTTTTTTTATTCTTCTTCTCCAGCTCTTATCTCGTCTCAGCAGCTCCTCATCTGCAGGTGGCTTTTGTATCAGTGTGGTACCTTAGCTGCGTCCCCTGCAGCACGGACAGCGATTAGCGGCCGCCAGGAGTGAAACCTCACTACACGATAGCCTCATTCTGCTCTTCAGCTCCAGCGATTCCTGCAACATCTACAGCCTGCCAGGAGAGGTGACAGCTACCCCCCAAGTCACCAAAGCCTGTCAGCCATGACTCGGGGAGGCCTCCTGCTACGGCTCGGATCAGGGATCGACTCGCTGCTCGATGGCTAGATCTCACCACACAAAGAGCTGGGGGTCTTTCTGCTGAGGTAACTCTCAGACTCTGTGAGTGTGGGCCATTTTTGTTCTGTACTTGTTCTGTCAAGTCAAGTGGCAGTCATGTCTGATTAAAAGTGAGTGGAACTGGTTCATGTAAATGGGGCCCTCGTATAACATTCCTACAGCACACTTGTGTTTCTCTGTCCAAAGCAAATCGGATGATATTAAAAGCATGTGATGTGCAGCGTCACACCTTTCATTTTTTAACCAGGTTATGTAACGTATTACCGTGGTGTTTTTACTCTGGCTCAGTTTTGTGCCCTCTCTAGACATTCGGTAATGCACATGGATATTGAAACATTTATTAGGATACCTGGGCTCTCACCTTTGTGTATGAATTATTCATTAACACCTTATGGTCTCTGGCTCTCTCTGAGATCGCTCAATGGGTTGTGTTTCAATGAAAAATCTATTCCTCTCCATCGGCTATAATGAAAATAGGCATCCTGCTAACAATGCTGGTTTAATTTGACTGCAGTTCTGCTGCAGCGAGTCGGTCATGTCGTTAGGCAATTGCCTCCACAGTCCAACTTAATCTTGTTTTTCTCCTTCGCAGTATCCCTCACTGCATAGTAGCACATGGATTTCAAGACTTCAAATGAAGAGGTTGGTGGAATTCAATCAATGGAACAGTTTGAGCAGGGATTGACGATGATTATAGAAACTGTTGTGACAGAAAAGCAGCACGGTGCATCAGGAAGCATGTGGATGAAACAGCGCTCTGGGACGCATACATATGTAGCCTTTAACACGTCCATTCTCAGACCTGCAAAAATAACCAACTCACTCTCTTTGGCTCATAATATAGTAATAGTAAACCAAATTACAAAGGAAACACAAATTTGCACCAGGATAACTGGTTGCTTTTTGTTTTTCTGTTTTCTTCTGTTCGCTGACATCATTTTAAATGACATGATGGACAATATTAAAACTGATCGAATATCACATGTACTGATCATGTCTCAAAACATACCTGTTGGGAAATATTGTACATTCCAAGCATCTTACTAGTGCAGTGCCTGTTGTAAACCTGCCTGTTTGGAAATTGGTTGTGTGTTTGGTCTGTGGTGATGCTGGGTGCACCACCGCTGCTGCACAGAGAGCTGTTCACCTGTTTATTCAAAGTTCAGTGAAGCTAGAATCAGAACCTCGAACTGGAGAATCTGTTGTTGTTGCCAACGTCTCGAACACCCCTGTTGATGTTTAGTGCCATTGCACCAAAAACGCTGCACTTCCTTGGGCCCTAAACAATACACAGGCCAAGTGTGAAGCTGATAAGAACAACAGTTCTGGAGCTATGTGAGCAACACACAGACAGACAGGGATAGATATCATTGTTACTGTCGCCTCACAACAAGAGGGTCCTCGGCTCAAGTCCTGGTTTGGCTCCTCCATCCTCCTCCCACAGTCCCAAGTCCTGCAGGGTGATTCATCGGAGACTCTAAATTGACCGTAGGTGTAACTGTGAGCGTAAGTGGTTGTTTTTCTCTGTCTGTTGACCCTGCGATACGCCCCCCCACCCCACCCCGCCTCTCGCCAAAGGGATTGGCCTCAGCTCGGCCGTGACCCTCAGAGGATAAGCAGTATAGATAATGGATGTATGATGAATAATTTCTAGGTTCTTGTGTTGTTTCAGATGTGAGAATACGTCAGGGATAGTCCACTTATTATATTAATAACATACATTTAAAAAACAAACAGCGTTTATGAGGGCCATCCTCATGCAGGGACTCGTGGTAATCTACTACATTGCTCCTGTCACTATTACACCCTTGGGATGTAAAGCAATGCCCTGGTTGCACACGGTGCAGCATCTGCTGCTGTCTGCAGGGTAAATAATCATGTGCAGGCCGGCAGATTGTAGAAGATGATTTAGATAATAATGTAGGTCTGTTTGCAGGGGGAGTGTAATGAAACATAAGAGATTGGTCTAATTACGCACAATGCTAATTATACACAACAGGTCAAAGTATGTGAGAAGCCGTCTGACCCGACTTTGTACAGTTATGGCACCACTGCCCTCGTTTTGCTCGGCTAATGACTGTTGCACGCACATTAGTCTAAATAATGTGGATTAATGCCCCCTCCTCGTTTCATTTCTCATGCCGTGGCTGCAGGCGGAAGCATATTTCTTCTTGTGTTCCTTATTAGAGGTGAAAGATAACACGCTCCATAAACTGACTCTGATTCAAGTCTGACCTGCAGTGGAGGTGCGCTCTGTTACAACAGCAGCAGACTGTCTCCGTTAACTGATGAGCGGCGTATCCCGGGTGACAAGGATGCTGACACCGGTGGTTTTTTCTTCATGTTATTATCAATCTTGTTTGGTAGAGGTGCTGCTTTTATTTTGACCTTTTGAAGTACAGGGCAGGACAGGCATTGCAATTAGCCAGGGAGAGGAGGAAGGACATGCAAGATGCAAATGTATGCGGATTAGCATGTTTTTAAATGGATCATTGGAAACGCACACAGTCGTCCCACCTGCTGTGGAGGAAGCATGGAAATTCAAATGTGAAGGGTGAGCTTGAATCCAGCCACTCAATTTCACAGCCTCTTAATTTGTCGTCGTCACCAGCAGCAGCCTTACACTTAGAATAATTGCGTTAATTTTTCTCTCAACATTGACATACGCAACGCACACAGAGGACATGAAATTATATCACAGCTCATAAAAAGATGTCTTCTGATTATAAACCATAAATATCAATTTTTTCCCTTTGTTTTATAAATGTGTGTTTATTACCCAGAGCGCTGAATGTGGTTATTTAAAAGCAAGATATTAAAAAAGAAAGACAAAAAACTGATATGACAAAAGCTCTGTGTCCCTAATTTCCATGTATATCCTGCAACAAGTCCTCTCAATGACATTTCATTTCATGGTCAGTTAATTTAGTCACGGAGGGATGATGAATGAGTTTATCTCTCTGACTGTTCACAGACAAAGACTGGGATTTATTTGATGCAAGAAGGTAATGAGGAGCCGTTTAATATTCGACTACACTTGGCCAAAGATATTCTGACCATTCAAGAACAAGATGTCATCTGTGTGTCAGGGGAGCCTTTTTATTCAAGCGTAAGTAACACAGTCCTGTAATCACTGAATGCTGGTGTGCAACATTTCACCCTGGTGCAATAATGTCAGTTACATGTACTGTACAATACATGAAGGTTACAGCACAAAGATACTGAGAAACATTGAATATCTGTGTTGATGACACATCTGCAGCAGTTCATCCATTGTTGTGTAGTTATTAAACAATAATTCACCGACTGGATCACGTATATAGAATATTTTCTTTTTGTGAGGGAGTTATTGTCACTGCACAAATACAATGAAATGTGTGGTTAGGGAGTAGAATAAAGACTATAAAGTAGAGCAGGAATTAACAGTAAAAGCCTAGGATAAAAAT